TACATGGAAATAGTTTACACTAGCCTTTTTATACCACCTTATCAAGAAAATGTTTTATCAGTTAACCTAGAGCCTTGATAAATTTCATATCTAAATAAGCTGGTATGCAGTTTTCCTCTTAGTGTTTATAATTATAATTTTAGTGACTGATTGTGTGATAAGAATAATGCTTCCTTAGCCTTTTCATGTCAGAACAGAGCTGTGGTGGTAAATAAGGAGGATGGTGGGCGATCCTGAGCCTCAGGACAGGACCGGAGTCACTCTTTGGTGAAGTGCCTGTTTGCACTGTCTTCAGTGGAGCTCTTAGGTGCTGTCTTGCGGCAGTAGAAGAACAGAGTTGCCTCCTTGTCCACATGCCCATCTCCATAAGGAAAACCGTGCGGAGGTGTGACTGGTTCCATTGGGCACCCCTGCTGCCTGGGCATGTCTTGGGCACCACCCCTCCACTGGTGTCACTTGCACGTTTACCCGAGGTCCTCAGGCTTTGTCGTCTTGAAAGTGGTGCCTGTGCAGAAGCTTCCAGATTAGCCATTTCCAAGTTAATGCCAACCAGACTTTTCCCCATTCTTGTGACTCATCTTTTGTTTCTTCCGTATATCCTAAAAGAAAAGTTATTTAGAGAAGGACCTGGTTTCCCTTCTACAATTGTGCTCATGGAGTTAAAAGAAATGCCAGAAGTTGTTGGAAGTTAGGGCCTGGGGCATATTAAACATGTGCTCTACTGCTGAGCCACACTCTGGCCTCCTCCTGACAGAGTATAAGGGTAAGAACACATTATCTAGTGGGGGTTTTTTTGGTCTTTTTGAGACAGGGTCTCCCTGTCGCCCCAGCCGTCCTGGAACTCACTAGGTAGACCAAGCTGGCCTTGAACTCATAGAGATCCGCCTGCCTCTGCCTCCCGAGTGCTGGGATTAAAGGCATGCGCCACCATGCCCCAGCTTCTATCTAGTTTTTTTAACTGCTAATCTTACTGATATTTTAGCAATTAACTTTGAAAGACAATAGACCTCATTTTTTGATAATTAAGTTTTCCTTAAACTAGATTACAGGTTAGCAATTTATAATGTCAAGAATATAAATTACTCAGAGGCTTAGCCTACAAATAAAATTAATTTTAATTCAGTTTAATGGTTACCTCCATTTTTAAGCCCCTCTAACAACAAAAATACAGTTACAAAATGATTGACTTAATTTTTACCTTAATGCTGGAAAGTTGCTCTATTTTTATGTCTTTTAGTGTGGGTTTTTGTTTGTTTGGTTGGTTGGTTTTGTTTTGTTTTGTTTTGTTTTGTTTTGAAGTCTTTTTGAGACAGAGTCCCCCTGTAGTCCCAGCTGTCCTGGAACTCACTAGGTAGACCAGGCTGGCCTCGAACTCACAGAGAGCCACCTGCCTCTGCCTCCCAAGTGCTGGGATCAAAGGCCTGCGCCACCAGGCCCAGCCTTACTGTGTTTTTTAAAAAGCTTTCAAGGCCAATTTATTTTCTTCCTGATTTTGGTCTTTTTGAGACAGGGTCTCCCTGCAGCCCTAGATGGCCTGGAAATCATTATGTAAACCAGACTGGCTTTGAACTCATAGAGATCCGCCAGCCTCTGCCTCCTGAGAATTAGGAATTCTAATTACTGGAATTATAGGTGTGCACCACTAGGCCCGGTTCTTCCTGGTTTTTTAGCTGTACAGAATCAGTTACAGTAGTCTGGGTACTGTCTCATGTGCCCCATGCCTGAAAAGCCATTTACTGTGCTGAGTGAGTGGGGACCTTAAAAAGGTCAAGCTGCATTAAGAAGGGCTGTTTTCTTAAGAAGAAATAGAAGCCTGCTTTAAAAGAAATTTCTGTGTGATCCACTAGAGGGTAGAGTTCTTCCTCTAAATAAAAAGGTTTTAGGGAAGCAGGCTGAGTGGGGAGGGAGAACAGGAAGGATATCAGAAGGGCTCACAGGTACCCTATAGGGCCCACCCCCCTAGGCACTAGCAGTTCCCATAGGGCCTGACCTCTATGTGCTGGCAACTATGAGTGACACAGGCACCAGTCAGCATCAGATGCCATATTAGTTTGCTTTCTGTTGCTGTGATAAAATACTAACCTAAAACATCTTGGGCAGGAAAGGGTTTATTTGTTTACAGGTTGCAGACAATCATCGAGGAAAATCAGAGCAGGAACTTGAAGGCAAGAACTGAAGCAGACGCTTACTGACTTGCTTCCCCTGTCTTGCTCAGCTGCCTTTTTTTTGGTCTTTTTATCCCCAGCCAGCCTGGAACTCTGTTGTAGAACAGGCTGGCCTTGAACTCACAGAGATCTATCTACCTGCCTCTGCCTCCCGAGTGCTGAGTGCTGGGATCAAAGGCGTGCGCCACCACACATGGCTCAGCTACTTTTCTTATACAGCCCAGGCCCATCTGCTCAGGGATGGTACCACCCACAGTGGGCTGAACCCTCCTACATCAACCAGCAATCAAGAAAATGCACCCCCCACCCCACCCCCCGGCCCACAGGTCAATCTTGTGGAAGAAATTCTTCAATTGAGACTCCTTCCTAGGTGACTCTAGTTTGTGTCAAGTTGACAAAATCCAACCAGCACAGATACCATGGTATCTACCCAGCAGAGACTACACACCCTGAGTGATGGAACCTCCTGCTGAAGTCACGTTTTAAACCTTAAATCAACCTTTTTGACACCAACACATTTACTCATGAGTATACTTTCCTATCTCCTCATCAGCCAGTCATAACTGTTCTAGTCTTTCTAACAAGGTTCCTGTCTACTGAGCAATTCTAACTAGGCCCTCTGCTGTGCACAGTCACCTGCATGGTCATGTGCACATGTGCATGTGTATTATGAATGTGTTGATGTTCAGTCAGGACTTTTCTCAGTTGAGAATTCTGCAGTGTAGGAACTCTGTTCTAAGCTCATCTGCACATCTGGTTTGTTCATTTGTTCCTTCCGTATTCCACCAGTAAACGTGCTCTGAGCTCAACCATGTTTCATAGTCTGTATCACAGGGGGAGCACAAGGACAAGACGTGGTCCCTGTCCTCAGTGCACAGAGGTCCTTTGATGAAGGCTGATTTATTGGCTGACCGACAAATTGTCTTCTTTCTCTAGGCATTGCTTCACCTCTGGGTCATGATTGTCCTACTGACTTACTCACCAGAAATGCACCATGACCAGCCGAATGGCAAATGAGCCCAGCCAGTTGATTCATGAGTGCTTGTTTCTAAACCTGGATCTGCAGAAAATTCTAAGATTGCTCAGAAGGGTGTACAAGATGCTTGATCACTGCAAGCTTTTGCCTTTTTAAATTATTATATGTGTGCTCTGCTGTCTGTGTCTCCCTCTTTCCTTCAGATGGTAAGAGTTTGTAGAACAGGCAGACAGTAATTTAAGAAATTCAGCTCTGCTTCCTCTGAGTCAGTTGTCCTATGTATAGAGAGATAAAAGATACTGGGTTGTTCACCTCTGTACAGACCTTCCTATATTTTAGGTGATACTGATTATGGGTTATAATCAGAGAAACTAACTGTATCTAGGGATGAAAATAAAAAGGTTTCTTTTTTGATAATTCAGTCTGCTTTGTATTTCCACATATTTAACTTTGCAAATAGAGGTTTAGTTTTTACATGTTGAAGACCTGATCAGTGTAAATCTTTTTATAAATACAGAAATAAAACTGACTTTGCATTTTTCTTTTTTGTAAATAACAGTTTTTCATCCCCCGTTAATCCAGACCTTTCCAGATGGACTTCAGGGACATGGGACCGGAAGTTGCAGCAGCAGTCACTCGTTCCCCACACTCTCCTCAGTCTTCTGCTTTTCTCCAGCTTTTCTGGAGTTGGCTCACTACGTCCCTAGCCCCTACGTGTAGCATGTAGGAAACGTGTTTTCTCCGCACCCCAATGCTGAGGGCTAGTTCTTCTTTGCAGGGTGTTCTCTGTGAGACCAGCATGATCCTGGAATTGTTCCTTCCATCTTCCTGTCCAAACGTGCGAATTCTTTTTCCGGCCTGGTGGTCTCCTCCTATGTAACTAGTCCATGTGGATCTTGGCCTGTGTGTGGGAACAGCTCTCCCTCTTGGGCTTGTCTTTGATTGGTCGCTTAATGCCTAGCTGAAAACATAGCCATTGATTCCTGATGTAGCATTGCCGTGTGCCCCTTGACAAGCTCTCAGCCCCTGTACATTATGGGTGTGTGTCTCTTATTGTTTACAATCAATTGACATTTTAAAGGTCGTGTTAGGTGTTTATGCTTTTTTCCGCTTTCACTGTGGCAGGAATGAAAAAGGCAGAAAGTTGCACATCAGCAAAGGAAACTTGAGGGGCTTGACAAAGAGAGCATCACTGGATCTGTGGGGTTTGTGGCCCCTTCCTGACTCAAGACGAGTCCGTCACAGTCTGAGCTGTGAAGTCAGATCTATCTCAAACAAGCAGTAGGAGTTCAGTCTTATTAATGGGCTTTGAGTTTTTGTTGGTTTTTTTGTTTTGTTTTGTTTTTTGTTTTTTTTGCCCCTCTCCTAATTTGGAAACATTTCTGGAAAATGATTAAAACCAGGTTACATCCTTAAAATGGAAAACAGTGCGTGCTCATCATCGTGCACCGCCAGACTTCCCGTCTCGTCTCGACATCCTCCTGGCTTTTGTTGGGGTGTCTGTAAATCTTTTGTTCAGTCTACACATTCTTGGCTTTGGAAATGGTTTGACTAAGTGTTTCCGGGATTGTTTTTCTTCAGTTAAGTCTTTAATTGAGTTTCAGTTTCATTACTCTTGACCACTAACAAACTGGGAGGTGTTTAAAGTGTTGCCATTCGCTTTATCCTCAGATACTGTGAAACTTCTTGACCTAATTAAAGGTCCGAACCTGTGTCCTAAGTTCAGCACATCTGGTTAAAGGGGCTTCAAGTGCGTGCACCAAGTTCTTCTGCTTTGTGTTTTATAGGTGTCAGTTGGACAATGAGATTATTTTAAAAGTTCCCTTTCCCGCTTTGTGAAAACTGCCATTTCTACTGCTGCAGAGTAAACCCTTTTTTCTGGTCTTTTTGAGACAGGGTTGTCCCTGTAGCCCCAGCTGTCCTGGAACTCACTGTGTAGACCAGGCTGGCCTTGAACTCACAGAGATCCACCTGCCTCTGCCTCCCGAGTGCTGGGATTAAAGGCGTGCGCCACCACGCCCGGCAAGCCTGACTTTTTAAAAACCTGTTGGAAATGTCGTAAGTTCAGTAGCTGAGGGAATAGAATGTGCAGGGCCTCAGTCCAGCTTTAAAAAGCTGGGTGCCCAGCTCACCTGTAGAGTTTGCACATTCCTCGGCTCTACTGGGCTCTGGCCTCCTTGTGCCAGGGCCAGTTGGGTCCTGGAAACTAGGGAAAAGGAGCTAGAGAAGCCCAGGAGGACAGTCAGGGGCTGGGAGGCTGAGGGGCTGTGACTGTCCTAAAGGAAAGATGTGACAGAGAGCCAGGTCTTCATCCTCTTCGGCCTCTTAGGATTAAGTGTAGAAATCTCTGGGGGTGTAAGAGGCAGACCAGGTAGATGGGAAAGAGAGAAACTGTACTGGTAGCTAAAGGCCAGTGCAGCTGCAAAGCTATGAACACAAAGGCTGTTCACAGCCGACTTGGACTAGCATGAATGACCACTACTGCCCCTTTGTTCATGACATCGCCATAGCATGCAGGAGTTGTCTGCCCTGTCATGTTTCTGACATGTAACATCCAGAAAATCCATATAAAGATAGAGGGGTTGGGGATTTAGCTCAGTGGTAGAGCGCTTGCCTAGCTGGGTTCGGTCCTCAGCTCTGGGAAAAAAAAGGGGGACAGGGTAAACTTGTCTCGGGAAATTCCTTTTCCATTCCTGGAACCCCCAAACTGTTACGGCTTGAATGTAAACTGTCCCCACAGCTCATTGTGTTTGAACACATGGTCTCCAGCTGGTGGTGTCGCTCTAGCAGGTTGAGACCCTTTTAAGAGGTGAGGCTGGCAGAAGAATGCCATTAATTTTGAAGTCATTTGCTTATAGTGGCAAAATACTGACAGTGTCCCAAGTGATGAGTACTTGCTGCACCATCACTCCAGCTGGACCCTAGGCTTCACATCCCTCTCATTACAGTTCTCCAAATCTATAACATAACATCCCAGAACATAATCCTGCACTATGTGCAAGGCGCTTCTTAGAATCTTTAAGGCATGGGCCAGCAAGGTGGCTCGGCTGGTTAAGGCATTTGCCACCAAGTCTGAAGCTCTGAGTTTGATCCCCAGGACCCATGTGGTGGAAGGAGAAAACTGACTCCTGCAAGTTGTCCTCTGACCACCACAGGCATGTGCCTCCCCCACCAAATAAATGCAATAAATTTAAAAGAACTCAAGACAGATTCGTAGAAAACCATCTATTTCAAAATCAGAACTATTAAGAAATGATGTGTGGCAAAAACCCAGAAGCTGAAGGCAGATGCTACTGTGTCTGACTGGGTGGCTCAGGCTTCAGTCTGGGCAAGGCACCGCCACTCTAACCCTCTCCTTTCTCCTTAAAAATGGAGAGAATGGCACAGTTGTCAAAAGAGCAATTTTGAAGTTATAAAGTCTACTCAAATGTCAATTTTATTGATGCTATGTTCCTTCTAAGCCAGGAGACCAAGAAAGCGCAGGATGGCCTTGCTGACGGCCAGTCTGCATTCCCCGTGGGAACATAAACAATCTGGAAGGCTGCTTGACAAGGCCACTCAGGAACACAGAAATCTGAACAGCCTGTTAGGCATTATGCTTGCTGAGAGACCTCTGCTGCTCTACCAGTAGCAGCACGGGACCCTCCTCTAGATGATAGTCATCCGAGTTGCCAGGTGCCAGATAGCCCCCAGCTCTGCACACCTAGAGCTGGCTCCCAGTTCACTAGCCTCCCTCCCACTTACAGCACAGACCCAGGCCTACCAGAAGCCCCATCCTCCCTCACTGTGCCACTACCTACACCTGACTTGGGAGTCGGTGTTCAGTGTTCTGTTTTGACCATAGGTAACAGACAAAGGCTCTCCCTGTTCAATTCCATAAAATTTACAGAAAATTTAGCCAGGCAGACAGGTTTAGACAGCCACTGAGGTCCTCCAGTCTCACAAGTGGGGTCACACATCTGTTTGTTTTCTCGAGGTGTGGATTTGGGCTACTTGTTACAAACAGGCAGTCCCTCAGATCTGTCTGGCACACAGCCTGCTGCACATCTTAGCTAGAAGCTCCTAATAGCTTTTAGTCGCTGGAGAAAATCTGCCATATTTTGTCAAATAGCACTCAGTCCTGGGGCAGAGCCAGCTGCACTCTGATGAGAGGTAATTGTTCTCCATCAGTGTGAGGAAGCAGGTGTGTGTCCCGGCTTAGGTCTGAGTGATGTCTTTAGACTCCAGGCACAGACACTCCACCAGCCACCCAGGCAGGAAATTGCCTTCCCGCAGCAGGTAAACAAGAGCATTTACTTTATTTTTAGCCATAAAATTGGACCTGAAAGCATTTCAAATCACTTGAGTTTTCTTTTCATTATTAGAGTAATATTCCTTAATTGTGAAAAATACAAAGAAGTTTAAACAAGGAAATATTCATTCTCAGTCCCACTTGTCCAAGCTAATCAACTGTCATATTTTGGCCAGTTTCCTTCTAGTCTTTTCCTCGATTATGTATGTCTAGAAAGGCCAGAAGTGGCGGGAGAGAGGCTTTAGTGGGAGTCACACTGCACACACAGTCGTGTTTCTTTTCTCTTTGTTATTATATGTGCTGGAAGTTGAACCCAGAACATCAGCACGCTAAGTACATGCTCTACCACAAAGCTTCACCCCTAGTCTGCAATTTCCATTTTTTTTAAATGTGTCATGCCTGCATGTATGTAAGTGCACCACATGCTTGCAGTAACTGAAGAGGCCAGAAGAGGGCATCAGATCCCCTGGAACTGGTTATGGATGGTTGTTAGCCACCATGTGGGTACTGGGAACCAAACCTCCTGGATCCTCTGCAAGAACAACCAGTGCTTTTAACCACTGATTCATCCCTCCAGCCCCACAATTTCCTTTTTTAATTATATTTCTTAATCACACAATGCACAAATCATGCTCATTGTAAAATATTAAGCAAGACTATATGCCCCTCAGATCTGTCCCTCTTCCCCATTCCCTAGTGACAGCATTGTTGACTTAGGAAGGTGTGCTATAACCACACAGACCACTTTAGAATTCAGTAAGTACATGCTGAGGGGTGGGGAAAGTAGCCATGGTGGATTTGAGCGCATTTTTCCTGTCCCTCTGTGATGAACATACTCTGACTTCCTGCCCCCTGCAGCCATGCCCTGATGCCATTCTTTCTTGGGTGTGCAGGTGGGGGCTGTGGCTTCTGACCCACAGACTGTGGCAATACTGAAATGTAACTCCTGTGGCGTAAACTGTGGCAGAGGTCAGTTTCATGATTACATTATTAGATTCCACCTTATGGCTCAGTGGGCAAAATGTTTGTCACACCGCTGTGAGAACCTGAGTTCAGATCCCCAAAACCCATGTAAAAGCCCAACGAGGTAGCCTGTGAACCCAGCACGACACAGCAAGATGAGAAG